AAACCCATGAAACTCAAATTAATCTAACTTTAGTTGTCCTATAAAAACTATGTCAAATGTAAAAATCATTAAAGCAGCTCACAAATTACATCGATAGCATCAAATTCACAAAAAAATCCAAAAAAAAAAAACACCAAATTCACAACAACCAGTACAAAACTAAAACAACAAATTCAATGAGACAACACCAAATTCATAAAATCGAACAAAAAATAAATAAAATCCAAAACATATAAACCCAAAACAATATTCCCCCGCACCCAAAACAAATATAAATTGATTCATCTTTAATCCTCAATCTTGTGCAGGATGTCACACGGATTTTTCAAGTAAATCTATTCATTAACAACTAATCAAGGAAAACCTCCACAGTTTTAGATAGAGTAAGTGCAAACAGCCTAAAAAAGTCTGAAATGACAAAGTCTAATGAAATAAAAAAAGTCCAATGATAGAAATGACAGCTCTAGTGCTTATCGACGTCTCACCAAGTGGCTTTGCATAAGAATCCATCTAGCACCGTTTGAAAATCAGAGTTTTCTTGCTCAAATGTTCATCAAACAATGGTTGTGTTATATAAAGCACAAAACCAAGATCTAGTGAGCTACATTTTCAGGAAGCATTCTGGGGGAGAGGGGAAACAACTCTTTTTGCACAAACAACACACAATAAACCTCACAAGAAAAAATATCAAGCCCAATCACGTACCCCAGTGCCATTGCATGGAGCATCTAACAAAACCCCAAACTTTAGGCATAATGGATAGGTTTTCATATTATCAAAACCCTATGAAAACCTAAACTTGTCATAATGGATACTCTGTCAAACTAAACAAAGAACCAAATCAAACACTACTCCAACATACCCAATTGCATGTAATAAGGTTTATGATATTTTACAATGAATTATGAACCACCAGGTAAATTAAACACATTCGGAAAAAAATTTAACGAATTCTCCTGTGTTAACGTCTTACTAAACAGTTTTCATCTAAAATGATTAATAATTTGCCCAATCATCCCGAATTGACACTAGATTCGAAGTTTTACCAAATTAAAGTTCCAACAAACCATCCCATAACTCATAAGCCATAACAACATAATCAAATCCATATCTACACACTCATAATCAAAGGGTCCTCCAAAAATTTACCTGAAAGGAAGAAGAAAATAGGAACAATTTTCTACACACTCACAATCAAAGGGTCCTCCAAAAAATTATAAGAGGGTGTGTTGAACAAAAAATAATATTCAAAAATAATTTTTCAAAAATGTGTTTGAACAAAAAATAATAAAGTATGTTTGAACAAAGATTCTCAAAGTAATGAAATTATGGTAGAGGTATAAAATTCCTTCCACACCAAAGATCATCAACAATACCATTTCCTTTACCAAAGATCATCAACATGCAGATGTTTGAAAACAGAGGACGAAATTTGAAATGCAGATCTAAAGATATACATATGCTAGATTCATCGACAATGCTGGATTCAAAGAGGACGAAATTTGAAAACAAAGGACAAAGCTTGAAGCTAAATTGGAAGAGGATGAAGCTTGGGTGAAAATAATTTTCAAAAAACAAATCCGAATAAGAAGAAAAATCAAATCAACAATCCAAATAAGAAACTTAGTCATAGTTTGCCCAAACCAAACACAATGGAGTTTGCCCAAACCGAAAAAAAAGCAAATCAAATAAATGCATAAAGTTTGCCCGAACTGAAGACAATCGAGTATCCCACATCATTGGTTAAAGTGTGTGAAGGACAATCGGTGAAAGGGGAAGAGAGAGTTACTTGGGTTGAGGTGTCTTCCGCCATGTGTATGTGAGAAGGCAAAGCGACTGAATGGGGAAGAGAAAGAGCAAATTGGTGGTCACTACGAAGGGGTGTAAGGGGTCTGGGTAGCCGTGTAAGGGGTCTGGGTAGTTGCTGTGTTGAGCCATGAGCCATGACAAAGGAGTGAGAGGTGACTGGTGAGCAGAGAGTAGCCGTGTAAGGGGTATGGGTAAAGTGCAGGGGTGGGTAGCGTGTAGGGGTTGGTTTCATTTGGGCGGGATTTTCTTTCTACGTGAGATGAAATGTGGCCCATTAGATCCAATTGAAAGAATTAGATAAAATCTAGACAGTTAAGTTAAATTTAGAATGAATTTGAGCCGTCTTTGTACTTTCCTAAATAAATTTAAATTAAATTAAATTTTGAAGTTAAAACAGATTCAAATTGGGTTCTATTTTATTATTATAGATAACAATTTTTTCACCATACTTAATTATCTATATAATAAAGTAATTTACAATTAAAATCTCAATGCATAAAGAAAATGACTTTTGTTATTCACAGTTGAGATTGCTTTAAATTTTACTTTAAAGTTAATATAATGGGTAATAATAACACCTTAAATTTAATAGAAAAAATAGGCTCCTAAGGATGTGTTTAGAGTGATTTTTTAAAAATACTTTTAAAATTATTTTTTCATAAATATTTAAAAAAAATAGTGCTTGAAATCACCCTACCACTACCTCTACCACCACCACCGTCGCTGCCACCACCGCCGTCGTTTGTCGCCACCTTTACCACCGTTGCCACCACCATCACCACCACCACCATCATCGTCGTCGCCGCCACCACTTCCACCGCCCCCACCTTTGTCATCGCCATCAAAACTATCGTCGTCGACGCTGACGCCGTCGCCCCAACCACCACCACCACCGAAGCCACCACTTACCCCACCTTTGTCATCGCCACCACCACCACCGTCACCGCCGCCCACACCGCCACCGTTGCCGTCACCATCACCACCCCTACCACCACTGCCACGGCCACCTCCGCCACCACCACTGTTACTGTCGCCACCATTACCACCACCCCTCCACCACTGTCACCATCATCGCCACCATCGCTGTTGCCACTGCCACCACCACCATCGCCCTCGCCGCCATAGTCATTGCCATCCACCACAACTATCATCGTCTCCTACTACTACCACTATCGTTCACCACCTCTCCCCCACTACAAATCGATACTTAAATTTTTTTATCTCTTATTTATGTTTGTTATTTGATTTTGGATATGAATGCAAATATGTTTACTGTTTATCATTTTTTATTACTCTGTGCTCTCAGGTACAGACAATAACTAGTATTTTTTTATAAAATATCACTATCCTTTATTTATTTTTTCAAATCACCACTTACAATTAATTTTTTATTTAATCATATATAATCACATAAATATTTTATTTAATGATATGTAACTATTTAAATTTATCCATCCTAATTATTTTTCAGTTTCAAATATATATATATATATTGTTGAGTCTATCTTCACACCGAGTATATTAGTCCCGTTTAGAGCTGACTTTTTTAGGTGTAAAATAGAGGTTTGAAAAATAAAAATAAAAATAAAAGTCAGAGTTAAAAAGAAAACTCTTGGAATTATTTGAAGTGTTTTCAAAAAAATCAGCTTTTTCTTGGAAGGTCTTGGATAAGTCTCATTTTCTAACTTTTTCTTTGTGCTGATAAAAGTTATTTTTGTCCAAAAAAACTAAATCAGACTTCTTTTCCTCTTAAATAAAAAAAACTTGAGGTTTTCTACCAACTTTAAACAAGCACATTGTGCTTCACACCACTGAGCTCAATAGTCTAGTGGCAAAATAGTGTTTGGTAATAATTATTTTAGTAATGATTCAATTCACAAGAAATAGATTGATGGAATTGGGTTAAGTTACGTCCCTAGTTGTCCGTAAGAGCACCTATGGAGCCTGTCGTCTAGAGCTTTTGGAATAGTTCGAGTTGCTATGGTTACTATAAACAAAAAAAAAAAAAGGGGTTAATTGTTGTTTTATCCCTTGTGGTATTGATCAGAAACACTTTATTTGCTTGACAGTTAAAATTATACATATTACCTTTTTATAGTTATGTACTAAAGTGAACTAATTGAGACCGTTAACAGAATTAAAAAATTATCACAATACTTACGTTTTAAAAATTAGACTTTTCGCTTGATTTACTCTTGATCATAAAAATAATAGAATATGACAACAAACTAACATATTTCAATCAAACGTGTTGAGTTTCTTTTTCCCTCAAGTGAGATTTTGTTTTTGAGGCAAAAAATCACTTATATTTTTCTTACATATTTTACTAATCGGGATTGATGTTTTACCTATTTGGGTATTATATTATATATTATAAATGGTATTTTAGACACTTAGACAATGTTCTTTTATAAAAAAACAATAAAAATAAAGCCCATAATATATTTTGAGCGTGTAAAACACACTTTCTATTCATTTGGATAATAAAAATAATTATTTTGTTTTAGTAAATAACTACAAGGGGATAAGGTGAAGTAGGTAAAGACGTTTCAGCTCAAATCACAAGTAGGTATAAATAAATTAATAAAAAAAATGGTTAATTACACAGAAAGTCTCAAAAGTATAAAATTTATTTTATTTTGGTCTCTAATGTTTCAATTACATCATTTTAATCCCTGAAGTATTGAGTATATTTATATATGATCCCTTAAACAGATAGTGTCCAGATTGCTAATAATTTTTTATCATAAACTTATCACGTGATATTTAAATATAGACAAAAAAAATAATTTGGATAATTCTTAACCAAAATTTAGTTAAATAACTACCTAAATTACACAGTTTTGATCATAAACTATCCAAATTTTAGTCAAAAATTACCCATATTATACATTTTTTGGTCAAAATTATCCAAATTTTGTATAAGAGTTATTAAAATTATTTTTTATCTATATTTATCTATTACGTGATAAGTTTATGATAAAAATTGTTAGCAATTTGAATGTTGTCTATGTGAAGCACCATATACAAATATATTTAATACTTCAGAGACTAAAATGATGTAATTAAAATATTAGGGATTAAAATAAGATAAAGTCTATACTTTGGGGACTTTTAATGCAATTAACCAAAAAAAAAAAAAAAAGGTCAAAAAAGAGGACAACGAAGCGGTGAGTTGTTCCAAACCCACTCTGCCTTGTATGTCTTCATCTGTATAAAGTTTTAGGGACGAATTTACCTTAGTCCAGACCAGACCTTTCCTCAGGAAGAAACAACTGGAGTGTTCGCGGGCGAGAGGACTGGCTACTGTTTGACTGTTTTGTAAGTGACTGAACCTTCACACACAAAACACACAGGCCCTCCGATTCTTCCCTCCTCTCTGATTCAAAATCTCTATTTCTTTCTGGATATACTGTAACTTTTCTAGTTTTTTTTTTCGTTTTCTGAGGTAGGGTTTATCAGTAGACGCTTTACTGAGGTTTGCACCTCCATTGATCCATAGGTATTCTGCAATGTCTACATTTGGTGCTCCATCTATTGCGAATCCAAATCCAAACAAGTCTGTTGAGGTAATTTTTTTTCTTCTTCAATCGCTAAGCTCAATTCAATTTCTTTCTATTGTCCTACGCTGCTTGAACTTGTATGAAATATGAAATTAGTGTATGGTTCTTTGCAATGAGGTTTCGTTGTGGACATACCTATAAATACATGCGTGCTCGGTGTTATATATTTGAGTTTTCTTGGTATATAGGTGGTCCAACCTCCCAGTGACTCTGTGTCGAGCCTTTGTTTCAGTCCCAAGGCCAATGTCCTAGTTGCGACTTCATGGGATAACCAGGTCAGTTTTTTCAATTTGGTTCTGTTTATTTTATTTTTCCTTTTTGATCACTGCATAACATTAAGCTTATAGAAGATGTATTGGTCGGTACCAGAAGTTACATTTTCTGTTTTTGTTTTGCTCTGTTTGGTTGATTGGGTTACTTGGCTTAAGAAATGGGATTAAAGTTCTTGGTTCCGTTGGTTTATTGGTATGGGATACTAAAAGTTTCAAAACCCTCACTTAGCTATACCTAGAACATCTATGAGGGTAGTGTTTGAGTTGCTCTAAAAGTAACTTAAATCATAAGATCCAAAGTTTGTTAAGTTTCTTCAAAATTGTTGTGCGCAAATTGGAAATGCCGCCCCTACCCCCTCCCCCCACCCCAAAAAAAAAAAACAAAAAAACCCCAATCATGGAAGTACGTTGGGTGGTTCTAAACTTGATACAAGTTCTTTTCACACCATCGCATAGTTCAAGGGACCTAAAAGAAAATGTTAAATATGATTAGAAATTCAGGTCATATCGCACCGTCATAGAATCGTATCAACCAATTTGGTAACGATAACTCGGCAACTCAGTATCGACTCAGATACAATTCGGCTGAATCGTGCGAGACTCAGAGTTTATATATATCGTTTAAGGGTATTGTTTTGAAAGATGTCGAGCCAAATATGACTTAACCGACTCTTATCAGTATCGGCCGATACTTTAAACTATGCACCATCTAGACTTGTACAAGGATTAACTTAGCAAACTGAAACAAATAGACAAATTAAGAAATTCAAATGGGCTAGGGACATGGATCCCTTCCCATGTAAAACCGAGCTTTGATACCATGTTAAAACATCCAACTTAAATAAAATTGGCAATGATTTGTTAGATCTGTCAACTGTTTAAATTAATCTTGTGTGACCCTAAACATTAGAGTTGAAATACAATCTCTGATTCGCAATGAATTAGGAAAGAGGGGTGCATTGTTAATTAGTTTGTTTGGTTATCAGAGTTAATATACTAATGTTCAGTTATGTCTTGCCCAAAAAATTTCATAGGTACGATGTTGGGAGATAATGCGGAATGGGACTACTGTTGGCACTGTGCCCAAGGCATCAATATCACATGACCAGCCGGTAACATATTAAACTTCTATAATGCTCACAAGCGCAACTATTTATTTCATACCCTACCTGCTAGCTAGGTGGGTCCCTATAAAGCCAACAAATTTTTAATTTTTTATTCAAATATGTAATGATTGGTTTCTTATAAATTCTTTGAAGGTTCTATGCTCCACATGGAAGGATGATGGCACAACTGTCTTCTCTGGAGGCTGTGATAAGCAAGTGAAGATGTGGCCATTATTATCTGGAGGCCAACCAGTAACCGTGGCCATGCATGATGCTCCGGTCAAGGAAATTGCTTGGATCCCAGAAATGAATCTCTTAGCCACAGGAAGCTGGGACAAGACTCTGAGGTGAGCATCTATTTATATTATTTTGTGCAGTTGTAAGAGATCAGTGAAAATGTTTTGTTTTATTTTATTTTATTTGGAGTATTTATGTATCCGAGGTGAAAAAATTCACATGATTTTATACTTTTTGGAGGAAAATGCTGCCATTTGCTATCATGTTGTTATTTTTGTCATCATCAATCTTATGCGATTTTGATTATTTGATTCTAATTCTAAAATGTGATATCAGTTATCCTTCATTAAGTACTGCTTGCACATGAAGTGACACATATACACTGCATCTTTGCCAACGATTATTTTCTATTTTTGTTTTAGATTCATTTTCCTTGTTAACAAGAGAATATTCATTGTTCAACTTCGAGGCATAACAATGGAACTGCAAATATAATTCTTCTTTCCCTCAGCCCTCCCAAAAAGATCCATTTCCCTTGTCTTGGTAAATTCCTTTGTCTTGGTAAATTCCCAATGAGAAAATCCTTTGTCTTGGTAAATTCCCAATGAATGAGCAAGTTGGAGGAAAATTTCTTTTTGCAGATTTGAATTAATCTTGGCTTGACTATTCAAAATCTTGTTTCTGCACTGATTATTCTCCGTTTTTTGTCATGTGCAACATTCTTGCTGTACATGTCTCCTATTTGTATTGTAGAGTCTCCTGTGCATTTGATTTATTGTCCTCTCTATTTGTTTTTGAACTTGGTTTTTGCAATGTTTCAGGTACTGGGATTTGAGACAGCCAAATCCAGCGCATGTTCAACAACTTCCTGAGCGCTGCTATGCACTTTCAGTGAGACATCCTCTGATGGTTGTTGGAACCGCAGATAGAAATCTTATAGTTTTCAACTTACAGAATCCTCAGGTACTGGAAGAGGTTTAAAAGTAGGCTGTAGACTTGTTCAATCATTTGAAATAGTAGTAGCATATAGAACACTTTATTATTATTAGCTGTCATTATGACCTGTAAAACTCTGCTTAAGGCACTACTGGGCTGAATAGTAACTTATGATTTGAATGATATGGGTGGTGGGACTCGTGCAATCTGCTCAAACTTTAAATGCAAGTCTTTCTCGATTGGATTTTTTTTTCCCGGCTAAGCTGCCATTCTTAGTTGTATCTCTTTGTTATTGTTAGTACTCTTATTATAGATTGTTGTACTCGTCTATGACTTAAAATTAGGAAATTTTGACTCTTAAGACTATCCTACATCATCTAGGACTCTTAATAGAAGAATAATAAAATGAGTTGACCAAACATGTGACCCATGGGTTATTGATTTGAAATAGTCGAAACATTCGGAACGTTTCTGTTTTCAAGGAGACCGAAACAAATTAGTGATAGAATCAAAATTGTAATACTCCGAGGTGTTCCATAATGTTTTAAATTTTTTTTTTATATTTCAATGCATTTGCACAATTATTTCAGAATATTTTAAGGTATTTCAAGATATTTTTGGTATATTTCAACTAATGTTTTGAAAAAATAATTCTTAATTTTTTTTTTTTCACTCTTTTTTCGAAATGGGTTGAAACTTTTTCGAGAAAACGTTTTCCTAGGTAACCGAAATAATGCACCTAAACGAAATTTTGATCCTTAATGGAAGACAGTTTTATAGAGAATGCTCTTTGGCATGATATTAGATCCCTCTCGAATGACAAAATCAGTGGTCAGTACAGTTTTCGCAGCAAACAAATCCTTGGATTGATTATGAACTTGAATTTCATTCCTATTCTCATGCTTAATTGTGGCTTCCTTGGCCTTAAAACCTAAATTTTCCCAATCTTTTGTACTTTCTTTTGGACCTCAACGAGACTAGCCTTTGATTCACAGCAGCATTGTGTTGTAGATTTTCATGAATAGGTGCAATATAATAAGTCATTGCAATCAAATTTGGAAAAGGGCCAGATGATATCAATTCTTCAGTAGGATTTGGATCAAGGGTTTCTTCTAGCAGCCAACTATATTTTGAGGGATGCGTTCATATTGGCAAAGTTTGTATTGATAGACTGCAAGTCTTTATGAATATATTCGTGCTAATTATGGTGGCAGGACAAAAAGGAAAATTTCGGTTAGATTGAAATGTGTCTGATACCAAACTGATAATTACAAGTGTGAAGCAACACTCCCCTGCAAACTATGGTACGAAATCTGATGGCTGGGAGTGGAAAAGATGCCCTGTCCAAAAGCTCGTTTAACTGTTATCACAGGTGTAAGGGGATGAAATGATATCGAATTTTAGCTACAAGAGTTTACAAAAGAAAGAATGAAAGGATGGAAGGAGAATAACAAGAACAGCAGCAACAGCAATTAGTGGACATGCTATTCAATGTCATATATGGCTGGGAACCTCACATCACACACTTCAAGTAGTCCAGGGGTGAAATTATAGAATTGCCCTTGTTCTCACATTCTGCATCAATTGTTCTGAAGCATTTCTGGCGTAGTTGGGGATTTTTACTGTGAACCATATACATTTTCACTTCCATAATTTCATGAAGTGGAATCCCTTCCGAGTGAATGCTACATGAATGCTTTCTTATTCTATTGTCACGAGTCCTCTGAAGCTTCTTAAAGAGTGTACCCAGTTCAATGTCCCTTAATGGATGTCTAGGAGGTGTCGACTAAGTATAGACCAATCCTTGGCATTATTTGCACAAAGTGGTTGTTTTTGTGTAGGCTATTGGACCAGATTTTAAAGGTGAGCAACCCTTTGTTGTCCTCTGAAGCTTCTCTTCTTGGTTATTCACTGTAATATCTGGATTCAGGGCTAATAAATGATTACAAGAGATGGCTGTGCCATTTTATTGGGATGAAAATATGTGGTGGTTATAGATAAAAATGGGATGACAAGCCCTATGTTCTTTTTTTTTTTTGCCTGTTTTATTTCAATCTAGGATCAAATATCATCCTTCAAATGGGAAGCACCTAACTTAAAGAGTTTTTCCCTTCCTTGTTAAATTTGCTTTACATAGACAATATTAATCATCTCTGCAATCTGATAGACGGAATTCAAGAGAATTACATCTCCCCTCAAGTACCAAACTAGGTGTGTTGCTTCCTTTCCTGATCAGCAAGGTTTCTTGGTGAGTTTTGCACTGTCATTTAATTATAATTTTAATTTTCGTATAATTTTATTTTGAATTAATCTGAGTCATTGCTTTCTGCCTTTCTTGTTTGACATAGATGGATGACAAGTATAATATGCTTCCATGAATTTTACATTTGACCATAAAAGATGGTAGGTTATGGTCACTGAGTAAAAATTGAGGATTTGAGACAACCACTGAATCTTACATTTGACCATAAAAGATGGTAGATTAAGTATAATACGCAGTGAATCTTCTCTGCTCCATATCAGTGATATATGAAGAATTTGAGGAAAAATTGAAACTGCTAGATAGTGACTGGAAAGATTGGAATTTAATTCGTATTAAAATCTGGGGACTGGCTTATATGCTAGGGAGGCCACAGAAATTCAGTACCTTCGGTTCTCGATAATGACAATGCAAAGTCTTTGATGTACCTTTTTATTTATTGTGTCGAATCTGGTAGTACATGCATCTTTGAAGTTTTGTCCTGAGAATGAATATTACTTTGTGTGATATGGAACATTCTCATGGAAAATGATGCATTTTTCCCTACATATTTGCTGTTGTTTTAAGAAATCAGTTTGCCATCTCTTAATCTGTCAATTATGCATACATTATGCATGATCAGAACTTGCCAGAATAAAATGTTTCACAACTTTAAATAGCTCTTTCATAGGGAACTATTCCCAATTTTTCTTAAAATAGCAGAATATGTGACTTTGAAATTAATGGATGGTTGTCATTTCTTCTTTGATGCAAAATTCTATTGAAATGTTCCTTATAGTAGTTTCTTTCAATTCTTTTCATTCTCTTTTTTATTTAGGAATTGCAGTTGTAAGAGTCCAAATAATAAATAAAATGCTAACAATCTCTGTAGAAACTAGAAATGAAATCATGGAAGCATTGTTATAGGATTCAGTCGAATAGAAAAATCATTAAAAAAAAAACAGAGGTATTAGTTTGCTTTTAGTGCTTCAATGTCATGAGGAGTGATTGAGTATATTTTAGAAATATGTGTGGAGCATATAAATCTGTTGGCTTGATGTATTAGTTGTTAATGCCTAACTTGGATGGATTATCTATATCGTCCAAGGTGTGCTTTGAATTCCAAAGATTATCTAACTCAATGTTACTTGGATCGTGGATTAATTTAGTACGTGGTATAGGTATGAATATGTGGTACAATACTTCTTTTAATATGCAGTACAATAGAGATAGACTTAGCTAGTACGCGGTTTTGAGTCATGGTTTGTTTCTATGAAGCACGGACACTCTATTTTGGCTCACGTATCCGTGTCCGACACACATGGACACATTCAGGACACGTGTCGGACACGTTAATTAGAGTGTCCAATTTTTTTTTAAAATTTTTTAAATTTGGACACGCAGTGGACACGTTTAAGGCCATTTTGTAATTTTAAAATTAAAATATGGAGCCTTTTTTGTAGTTATTTAAAAGTGAAAGAGCCAAAAAATAAAACGCTTAAGGGCTAAGAATTAAAAAAAAAACATATATATCTTATTCTCTCTCTGTGAGAGAACATAATGGATAAAGTTAAAAAAAAGAAGAAAAACACATGCGATGTTCTAGGCTTCTCTGACAAGCTAAGAGAGGAGAGCTCAACCACTCCAGTGACTTTTGTTCACTTTGGCGATGTTTCTTCTCTCCAGCAAGTCGACAGGAGAGATTTGGCATTCCTTATTTTTGGTTTGGGCAATTTTTCAACAACTAGCAGATTTCTCCATCATAGGTAACCTTCAATCTGAACTACTCATGATATCTTCTTCTTATTTACACTATTTTTTCTTTAATAAGATGTGATTCTCAACTCTCTTTAGGGCTTCTCCTGTTAGTGCAGTTAGGGTTTAACACGTTTTAAACCCTAATAGGAAAAAGCAAAATTGACATTTTTTTTCATTATATTTTTCTAGCAAAGCCTTATATTCTATTTTTCATTCTATTTTTCTGGCCCTATTACTCAACCTTGAACTTGCAATTTTTTCTTGGTTTTTTTTGTCTGTCTGCTATTTTTTTTTCATGTTTTTGCTGCTGCAACCTTGCTGTTTTTGTTGTTGCAACCCTTCTGTTTTTGCTTTTGAACCCTGCTGTTTGTTAACAGGATTATATAGGCTTATAAAATATATTTTTGAATATAATTATTCAACGTGTCCTCGACGTGTCTGTGTCCTATTTTTTTGAAAAATTACGTATCTACATGTCCGTGTCGTGTCTGTGGCTATGGCCCGAGTTCGTGCTTCATAGACTTTGTTTTGTAACTCCTATATGGAATGTATATACATATACATAGTTAATAAGTATTTATTTTATAATTTTTATAAATGTTGTCAAAACATGAGTTTAAAAAACATCAAAATAAAGAAATAACAAGTTAGAGTTATGATTTGGGGTTGGGGCTATGATGTGAGATTACTTAGATCATGAATATAATTTGACTTCGGGACTTTGAGGGATTTGAATTGCGAAACCACCCATTTCAGACTATGCAACCCCAATCCATGGTACACTAGGGATATTCGCGATCCTAGTACCTATGATCTAACTAAATGGTAAGACTAAAACATTGCAATGTATTCAAGATATGTTTAGGACGGACTGAAAAGCTTGTTGACATGGAGTAATATTAGGGACCAAGTCATGAGCCCGGAGCTTTTTTCTACTGAGAAATTGGAATGAATTGAGGAACAACGACAAGAAAGAATTAGTATTTATTTGCTGGAGAAGACAAAATGGAAAATTGTGAAGAAACGTGTTGGTTATTATGGTGGATCAATAGGAATATGCAGGGCAAGAAATTGACAAGAAGGCGAAAGGAAGGTCGAGAAGTTGACGATAAGGTGAATTTTGATTAGGATATACATTGAGGCAATATGAAATTGTGGATCTATTTAGGACTGTCAAAATTTGACACGATATGATTAATCGATACGAATCGACATGAATTAAACGGGTTTGAGTGAGATTTTAACGGGTTTGGGTGATAAATGAGTTGACATGTCAAACACGTTTAATAAACGGGTCATGTTCGGATGAGACCTGTCAAACTGTTTATCACACATTTATCTGTTTAAATAAAATTAATAATTATTTTAAAAAATTAGCAAGAAAAAAAGTAAAGAAATTAATAAAAAAAAGAAGTAAAGTAGTAGTTTAAACATAAAAGAGAAGAGATGAGGAGCACTTCAAAGACAATGGTAAACGAATGCCTTTTGTTTTTGTCCCACATTGGAAAATGAGGGGAGATAGGGAGGGTTGAGTTGCCTATAAAAAGCAATGACCTCTTTTTTTTTTTTTTAAAGCCTTCAAGTCTTATTTTTATGAGATTTGGTTAAAAATTCCTCT